ATTTTTTTTCCCCCAATTTTAATGTTTTTTTTTTAGATTCCAAAAATAAATCATAATAAAAATTATCATATTTATAATGTTTTAAAAATTAAGACCTACGAAAGACTGATTTAAGACATTTTAATACCAATTAAGGCCTTAGTTTTATTTTGAAGAATTCAATGCCTTTTAAGACTTTTTAAGGACCCGCGGGAACCCTGTCAAAGGTAAGATCAATAATCTTTAAAATATGGATTTTAAGACACTGTTAAGATACAAAAGACATTGTGCACCCTTTAAAATGTATTTAGTTATTTTATGTATCTTAATTTAATTTCCATTTGATTTCTCTGTGTAATAAATAATTCTTTTGTTGAAGGTGTGATTTGTGCTTCATCAAAGGAAAGACAAAAAAAAAAGTGTTAAATACCAAATTATGTCCAAATAATTACAGAGGATTTATATTGTTTTTCACTATGATTTCAAAAATGCTCTGCTTGTCCAAAATACTAAGAATGCTTGACATGGGACGACATTCATTTCATGTATTTTTAATTTCTGGTAATTCCTGCGTCACAATTTTAAATGGTTCTCCCAAACCCAGCTAAGCTCTTTGCTCTCCGTTCTTATCCCAACACCTCAGAAGGTTTAAGGAATGTTCTTTTAATATATATTCTAATATTATCACCAAAGTCTTGTTTAACTAAAGTTAGGTATTGAAACGTAAGTGCTAAAGCTAGTGTGAGTTTAATGGATTCCACAGAACTTCTAAATTCATCTTAGATATTTCTTTTCACGGCAGAAAGACAGAAAGAAAACTTTTAATTTCTGAATAATTCTGTTTGTGTCACAAGATGGGGCGTGTTAGGTGGAGTGGTCTCAAGGGAGTCACACTGATTTAGGTGAGCTGTTACACATAAAGATGGTTCTTGGTAGAGAACTGTGATCAGGTATGTATTAACAGAGCTACTATAGTAAAAAGCAGCTTCATTTTATAGAATATGTTTATCTCAGGATGTAGGTATAATATTTGGAATCTGCTCTTGTCCTGTTTTGTGTTTTACTACATAAGCATGTTTGTTCACAGTACATGTAGAGTACGTATTAATAAAGACATGCATGTTGTACCTGTTTAATGTTCTTCCTCTCTTACCTTTCCGAACATTCCCATCGGTGGTTCGCTGAAACTCCCCAGCACTCAGAAGAAAACAGGCACGGTCGTGTGGGTATCGTTCACGGCTGGTGTTGGAGCCAAGTCCTCCGGTGACCGGACTGCGCTCGTCCCCAAGAACCTGGTCTATGGTAGGACAGTCCTCATTGGCCAGAGCTGCTGCATTAGTGGCTGCGTCGCCATTCTGCTTAGAGTCTTAGAAAAAAAGGGGTAAATGAGATGATGGCAGAGGCGGGAAATTAGAAAAGTAAAGTCAATGAGCCAAAGCAATCTGCTGGTTATCCTTAAAAAGAAAGCTCTTAACCAATCTGACTGAATGGGCAATATTAAATAAACTTAATTATATTAAACTGACAAAAGGAAAAATAATAAGTTGCCAAAAGAAAATGGATAAAAGACAAAATTAAAGTTTAAAGAGAAAAAAGAAATGATTGCACTGTTGCTCTCACTCAGTTTTCATTTATTTAATGAGTTACTCTATATGGTAATAGCGATAGGAAGGATCTCCTGTAGAGGTCTGTATTGCACCGGTTCAGGAGAATCTTTGACTGAAGACATTCTGTTGTTGTTTAATTGTTGCCTGATGAGGATAAAACTATGGGTTGTTAACAATGTTCTTTGTTTTATATAGAATTGTTCTTTGTGAAATCATCTCCAGAGTTTCTTGAAAAGAGCTTTTTGAGCTTTTTTCAGCCTCTGATGCTGTTATGCCAGGCAGTGATGACAGAAGAGATCAGACTCTCCATAACAGACTGATAGAGCGGAGGTGATTTAATAGTCCAAACAGCCTCTGGTTTCCAGCCAAGTTCCAAATTCCCGCCGCTGGAGTGGCTCCCTTCTTTCTGCTGCGACTGTCAGTGTTTACTGTAACTCCACCCATTTATTGAAATGCTGATTGTTTCCACACCATGCCACAAAGCGCTTCACCAGCTCTCTGTACTCATCTTCTGCTCGTTCTTTGATGCTCCCAATGACTGCAGAGTCATTCAGTATTTCTGCAGATGACAGGACTCTGTCTGGTCCTGGAAGTCAGAGGTAAACAGAGTAAAAAGGAGTAGAGAGAGTTCTGTCACCTGTTCTCCTGACCACCTGGTTAGATACCTGACCTTTCAGTCTCACAAATTGTGGACTGTTTGTAAGATATTCATACATCCAGCTAGTTGTTGATGCTTCTGCCTGACTGTTCAAGAGTTTCTGACAGAGTAAATAAGGATGAATCAAGTTAAATGCACTGGAGAAATCAAAGAACAGGATCCTCTCAGTGCTGTCTGCCTTGTCTATGGTCAGTCAATATGCTGCTATAGGCTTAGGCTACTGGAAGACATTGGACACTTCATTGTTCTACTTCATTCCATCTCTATTGTCCAGTTCTGCAGTATTTGTTTGTTGAAACCAATGTTGTGGTCAAGACCACCTAACCCGAGACAAAGACAAGAAAGACCAAGACTTTTAGGGTCCGAGACCAAATCAATACCAAGACCAAGGGAAGTCGAGACCGAGTCAAGACCAAGACCAGCACCAGTATGTGACAATAAAATGTGAAACATGATCAAAATCACAAAAATTAAAACATAAAAACACCTAGATATTTAACACACAGAACTGGACTAAACATTAACATCTTTATTTAGTACTTCTGTGTAATAATCACAAAATTTCAAACAATTAATCAAAGTCGATCAAAATTGTATTTTCTCTGCCATTAATGAACAGTAAATACATTTATGTTGTTTTTAAATGTGCTATTTCAAAACAATGTGCAAAATTCTGTCAAATGTGTAAAACTGAAAAAAGAGCCAATCATTTCTCTTGTTTCTCTCTCATATACAGATTAAAGCTATATTATATAACTTTCCTCAAATAAATCTATATCTGTCACCAAGTTGTGAAATATGTTATGAGACAGATAATTTGTTGAAAGAAATAAATTGATCTCCTTCACTGCATTCACCAATGAGACAGGTTATTGCTTGGATTTGAATCCAAGCATCCAATAAAAAGAAGGATCTTAAAGAAACTGATAATATTCTGATGATTAGCGTTATTTCCACAGTTGTGGTCTTGACCGGTCTTGAAATAAAATGCAGAGTCCTCAGCGCTCGAGACCGAGACAAGACCGAGACCAAATGCGGTCAAGTCCGAGACGAGACCATCAAAAAATATTCTCGAGACCAAGACCGGTCTCGAGTACTACAACACTGGTTGAAACCATAACTTTCTGTCCTCTTTTCTTTTTCTTGTGATAGCAGCTTCATTTTGCATTGTTCTGTCTAGCTGTGACACCATTTAGTCCCAGTTCTCTCCTAGTCATAGCTACAGCCTCAGCTTTTACTGGAACAAACTGGATGTCCTCTCTTTCCTCCTTTGACATAAAAACTGGCTTATCTGATTAACTGTTTCTTTCTCAGACAGAGATACTCTATGATTACATTCATTAACATAGATCAGTCTTTTAATGTTCCCTTTCTATGTCTGCTTCTGTCTCCTTGAACCCCAGTCGGCATCAGCAGGATGCTACTCACACTGAGCCTGGTTTTGATTCTGATGGAGGTTTCCTTCTCTTACACTGAAAAAAATAATGCAACTGCAATTGTGTTAAAGTAACTAAATATGGTTAAGTAAATGCCAAAAACAATTGCATTATTTTCTTCAGTGTGAAAGGGAGTTTTTCCTCTCCACTGTTTCTGCATGCATCCTCAGTGTGAAGGATTGCTGTAGAGGAGTCAGCAACACATTACAAGTGAATGTCCACAGTGGCCACATGCTCATCCAGGAGCAGCAAATCCTGCAAAGTCAATGACTCAATAAAAATGAGCTCGTTTTCAATCAGACAAAAAAAACTTTGAACCAACCCGACTGCCTGATCTGGTTGAATTATCTCTGTAAAAGGTCTTAAGGTGACATGTGTGTGACATGTGTGTTGTAAGGAAACTGAACTAAATTGAATTCTAAATTATGGAGAATAAGTTTTAAACATGTGTATGGTAGCATCTTTATCTGATGATAATGGCAGCAAGTCTACAGTCACTGAAGTCTTCAGGTACTGAAACAAGGCAGGAAGTTTTACAGACACCAGGATCTATTTCCTGGGTCAGGCTTGGATTGAAAAGATGTAGAATCCCACTGAGCTGCTCTACACAGGCACAAAATAACATTTTTGTTGAGCAAGTATTATGGATTAACTCAACCATCCCCTCAAACACGCTGCACTGCAAACATATGTCCTACCCTTCCATTGGTACCCCTCTTTCTCTAAAGATTCATACAGCAAAGATGATGACAGACCTCTTATTGCTGATTTGGTAGCTTTAAAATAATAACTTCCATACCAGTTTAGCTCTATCAGGGCTATTGTTTCAGTTAGCTAAACTGGGGTTATTCAAGCTATCCTTTAAGTAATCTGTACCCATCTAGTTATCTCAAAATATAACTTACTTTGACAAAATTTCCCAATTTCACCAAATAAACTACAAAAACATAGAAGAAAATGTATTTACACCAACTAAGCCATGTTCAGCTAAGCTTCCATTAAAAGAGCTCTGTCTGTCATAACATCTGATTTAACTTAACCTTTGGACTTAATAAGTATGTCTCTCTTGTCTGGTGTTTTGGCACTCAAAACAGCAATTATCAAACCACCATTTAAAAATGGCAAAATGGCTTTTGCAGAACTACAGGCCTATCTTAAATCTTGCTTTTCTCTGTAATATTATTGAAAAAGCTGTTAATTGCTAGACCTGCTCTAAGCAATGACCAGCCGCCCTTAAAACTCGGAAAACTGGAAAACTTGGTCTTTCTTTCAGGTACAGTATCAAACTTTAATCCCTACTTGTCTTTATTTTCCTATTATCTTTGTTTTCATTAACAGTCCTGTGTGAGTGCGAGTGATGCATCTTTGCCAGAGAGGATCTTGGTGGATTACCTGGGTAGCCTACACAGGTGGAGCTCATCAGTCTGGGATTAAAAGTGCAGCAGAGCCTTCATTCAGTGCTAGATGACAAACGTTACCGTTCGTCTCTCTGCCCATCTCTTGTAACTTTACTAGTTGTTTGCCATCTCCTGTGAATTTGCAAGAACTAACTCAGTCCTTGTGTTTGCTGTCTCTAGGTTTTCTCTTGTTGGATTTTAGGAAGAATCTGTCAGGGTTCCTGTGTGTAGGTTAGTGCGAGTTGTGCATCTCTCATATAGAGGATCTTTGTGGAGAACTTGGGTAGCCTACACAGGTGAAAATAATCTTTCTGATCATAGTGCTGGGCTTAAAGGAGAACCACAGCCTTCATTCAGTGCTTGTTTCTTGTGTGTGTTGAAGATGTTAGTTGCTTCCTAGTCTCTTGCTTCCCTCGAGTATTTTTTCCTGACATTTATTGGTTTTTGTTTGGTTTTAAGTATTTTGGATTTTTGCCTCTGTTTCCCTTGGACTTACATTAAACCATATAAACTCATCCATGCCTACTTCTCTCTGCATTTGGGTCCTCAACACCTCCACCCAACCTGACAGAATCAGTTCCTCTGATTCACCTCCTGTGGATTTACCTGCAGGTTACCTGCCTGCCCGCTCCGATGTTCATCATTTCCTACCCGGCTCTTCAGGGAGGAGAGAGTACAGCCAATGATTTTTTCTGCAGTGCTAATGACTCTTTACAGAGCTTCTTGTCTGTAGTAGGGCAGGCAACAAATCTCACAGTATGCCATACATCAACAACGGATCTATGGTACCTCGGTAGGAGGACACCACCAGTCTCTCCTCTAGTAATTCCTTCTCTCCACCCAGAGGATGCAAACTCTTTGCTGTCCCTTTTTGTTGACTGTCCAGGTGATAGGTGAGTCCTCAGGAATTGGAAACGGGCCAGTCTGTTCACACATACTCGGTTGTTAGTCAGTGGAACATTGACCTCCTGTGCATTCTGAAATCAGTAACCATCTCCTTGGTCTTCAGCTCCAGTTAGTTGCTTTAGCACCACTGTGGCAGCTCCTTTATTTGCTGGTGTAAGGGTGAAAAGTTGTGCTTGTAGAGGGCATAACAAAAGGAGTCTCAGGAGACAGCCATGGATAGAGCCAACGTCAGGGTGGAGGAGTGGACCCCGCCACCCTGACATTGGCTCCACCGATCTAGCGTTACAACCTGTGGTCAGTTAATAAAGTCCTTGATCCAGCAGCACATACAGCCAG